GGAGGACAGAGTCAACAAACCATGTTTCTAATCTTCTGCAGACGTTTTTCTCATCTCAGGATCGGTTAGTTGGAAATGTACCATGTTAAGACATTATTTGGGAAGAAAGACTTTTCCTGCAAGTGATAGTAGATACTGATGTAACACTACCAAAATGAAGAGGTGATTCTTTTGATTTGGTAGAGTTACAACACCTTTTGCCTTAATCAAGTAGCATTAATTGACTTAACAAATCAATCAGCATTGTTTGTTTATTGTTATTTCGTTCCTGCCAACATTAAAATAAAACCTTTAACAGGAAATGACACAGAATCCTCAACAGCTAAATCTAATATCAGCTGTCTGAGTGTTCAGTGAGTCACTCTTCACCTTTATTCCAGCTTCCACTCTTTTCAGGAGACTCACTTTTGGTTTCTCAAAGAATCTGCAGACACACCTCCAAAGTTCAGTCTTAGAAGCTGGTTGATGATTTTCTGAAGTAATCAAACACATTCAATGATGTTGAGGTCTGGACTCTGGGCTGGTCAGTCCGTTGTTCTGAGAACACCAACAGCTTCTTTGTTTGAATTGCAAATTTTCTTTATATCTTTTAATCAAAGAAGCCTCATTCCAGGCTTTTTGAAACTCAACTTTTTGAAACTTAAATCTTACAGGAATAGTTAATCAACAGTACCAATTACCCAGTAATTACTATAAATTATTCAGTATCTATTACAAACTATTCAGTAACTATGATAAATTATTCTGCAACTACTACATATTATTCACCAACTATTATACATTATTCAGGAACTCAAACTATTTAGGAACTTTGATAAATTATCCAGTTATTGTATAATATTCAGCAGCTGCCATAAATGATTTAGTATCTACTGTTAATTATCCAGGTGGTATTGAAATTTATTCAGTAGCCACTAAAACATTATTCAGTATCTACTATGAATTATTCAGTAATTACTATAAATTGTTCAGTATTTGCAATGAATTATTTAGTAACCACTCAAATATTATTCAGTATCTACTATGCATTATTCAGTAATTACGATGAATTATTCAATAACTACTATGAACTATTCTGGAACTACTATTAATTATTGATTAACTGCTATAAATTATTCACAATCTACTGTAAATTATTCAGTAATTACTATAAACTAGTCATTAATCACTAAATCCTTATTCAGTATATACTATCATTTATTCAGTAATTACTGTAAGTTACTCAATAAGTACTATGAACTATTCCAGAACTGCTATTAGTTATCCAGTAACTACTATAAATTATCCAGCAACTACTATAAATTATTCAGAATGTACTATAAATTATTCAGTAACTACTATAAACTAGTCAGTAACTACTAAAACATTATTCAGTATCTACTATACATTATTCAGTAATTACTATAAATTGTTCAATAACTACTATGAACTATTTTGGAACTGCTATTAATTATTGGGTAACTGCTATAAATTATTCAGGGTCTACTATCAATTTTTCAGTACCTACTATAAACTATTCAGTAACCACTAAACATTATGCAGTAGCCACTATACATTATTCAGTAATAACTATGAATTATTCAATCACTACTATGAACTATTCAGGAACTGCTATTAGTTATCCAGTAACTACTATAAATTATCCAGTAACTAATATAAGTTACTCAGAATCTAAAATAAATTATTCAGTAACTACTATAAATTAGTCAGTAACCACTAATACATTATTCAGTATCTACTATCAGTTATTCAGTAATAACTATAAATGACTCAATAACTATTCCAGAACTGCTATTAATGATGCAGTAACTTCTATATATAATATATATTATTCAGAAACTATTATAACTTATTCAGTATCTACTCGTAATGATTCAGGAACTATTATTAGATATTAAATTATTCAATCATCACTAATATGTGAATCATTATTCAGTATCTACTATTAATTATTCTTTAACTACTATACATTTTTCAGAAACTATTATGAATTATTCAGAATCTACTACAAATTATTTAGTAACTACTATGAGCAACTGAATTGTGGCACTGAAGGGGTTAAGCACTCCCCTCTCCAGTACCTGTGTTGTTCTCAGGGTCATCTGTAGATGCTCCAGAACTCTCTCACTGCCAACTTCCAACTGACCTACTGAGCAAATGAGCTTTTATTGATAAAGCATTACGCCTGTAAGGGTAATCTCAGCGCTCAGCGCGCTTCATATTCAGCTCGTCGTGTTTGCTGCGTCAGTGTGTTTACCTGGACGCTGCAGGCCTGTATCTGTACCCCGGGCTGCTGACACTTTATTTGAAGATAAACAGCAGATATTTATTGAAATATTACCCACTCTTTCCCGAGAGCGTGCAGTAGACCTGTTTATGTAAAAGAGTGGAACTGGAAATGATCAGCCGAGCTGGATGAAATGCTTGCTAGCACTATCACTGTGGTGCAGCAAATCCTTCATTAGAGTTGCTGGGTCCTTTTAAGAAATGACCATCACAGGTTATGCAGATTGGAAGCCAGTGGTTCAGTCAGTTCAGTTTACTGTTTGCCATATCATAAGTAAATAAACACTGTGTCCAAAAGTATCTGGAAAGCCATTCTAATCAGTGAATTCAGTTACTTTAAGGTCACCTATTGCTAACACAGCTTGTATAATCTCCATGGAAAAGTATTGACCAATAGACTGAGATGGTTTAGAGCATCCTAAGGTCACCATGACCAGCATTGGGCTGTGGAGTAGTGGAACTGCGTTCTCTGGAGTGATGGAGCTCCATCCGATACCTTTGGGATGAGTTGGAGTGATTCAGAACTGATCATGCTGATAGACGCTGAATGTACCAAGAAGTTCCACTGCAGTTCTCCAAGTTGTTCATAGTCTCAGGAGTTCTTTGATCTTCTTAGTAGTTAAGTAGTTTCTCAGAAAGGTAAAAAGAACATTGCTGCCCGTCTGCAGTTTGCTAAAGATCACACTGACAAGCCAGAAAGCTATTGGAACAATGTTTTATTGACGGATGAGACCAAAATTGATCTTTTTGTTTAAATGAGAAGTGTTACCTTAACCCATCTGTGAAAAATGGTGGTGGTAGTGTCACGGTTTTGCTGCATCTGGGCCAGGATGGCCTTCCATCACTGATGGAGCAATGAACTCTGAATTACACCAGCAAATTCTAAAGGAAAATGTCAGGACATCTGTCTGTGAGCTGAACCTCAAAAGAACGTGGGTCATGCAGCAAGACAACGACCCTAAGCACACAAGAATGGTTAAAGAGGAATAAAGTTAATGTTTTGGAAGGACTAAGTCACAGTCCTGACCTTAATCCTATAGAAATGTTGTGGAAGGACCTGAAGCAGCAGTTCGTGCGAGGAAACCCACCAACATAACAGAGCTGAAGCTGTTTTTTATGGAGGAATTAGCCGATGTGCAGGACTCATCAACAGTTACTGCAAACGTTTAGTTGCAGTTATTGCTGCACAAGAGGGTCTCACCAGATACTGAAAGAAAAGGTTCACATACTTTTACCACTCACAGATCTGTAATGTTGGATAATTTTCCTCAATAAATTAATGACCAAATCTAATATTTTTGTTTAAACTGGTTCTCTTTATCTACTATTAGGACTTGTGTGAAAATCTGATGAAGTTTTAGGTCAAATTCATGCAGAAATGCAAAAATTCTCAAGTGTTCACAAACTTTCAAGCACTACTGTAAAGCGATGGTTCTTCAAGGGTTCTTTAGTAAAGGCAATGGTTCTGTTCTTTAGAATGATGGAGAATGTATTGTATATGCTTCCATGTAGAGCTGAAAAGAGTTCTGTTATTGCTGTGATGTGATATCAAGCTTTTTGGTGCTATATAGAACCAAAACATTTTCCATCAATCTGAAGAACCATTTCACCATGCAGAGAACCCTTTAAGGTTCCATATAGATTTCATAGTTCTAAAAAGAACCATTGGAGAAACATATTTTTAAAGTATGTACATCGATCAGGCATAACATTATGACCACCTCCTTGTTTCTACGCTCATTGTCCATTTTATCAGCTCCACTTACTATATATATGCACTGTTCTTCAGTGGTCAGGACCCCCATGGACCCTCACAGAGCAGGTACTATTTGGGTGGTGGATCATTCTCAGCACTGCAGTAACACTGACATGGTGGTGGTGTGTTAGTGTGTGTTGCGCTGGTCTGAGTGGATCAGACACAGCAGTGCTACTGGATTTTTTAAACACCTCAGTGTCACTGCTGGACTGAGAATAGTCCACCAACCAAAAATATCCAGCCAACAGTGTCCTGTGGGCAGCGTCCTGTGACCACTGATGAAGGACTAGAGGATGACCAACACAAACTGTGCAGCAGCAGATGAGCTATCGTCTCTGACTTTACATCTACCAGGTGGACTGACAAGGTAGGAGTGTGTAATAGAGTGGACAGTGAGCGGACACATTGTTTAAAAACTCCAGCAGCACTGCTGTGTCTGATCCACTCAGACCAGCACAACACACACTAACACACCACCACCACGTCAGTGTTACTGCAGTGCTGAGAATGATCCACCACCCAAATAGTACCTGCTCTGTGAGGGTCCATGGGGGTCCTGAGCACTGAAGATCAGGGTAAAAGGGGGCTAACAAAGTATGCAGAGAAACAGATGGACTACAGTCTGTAATTGTAGAACTACAAAGTGCACCTATATAGTAAGTGGAGCTGATAAAATGGACAATGAGTGTAGAAACAAGGATGTTAATGTTATGCCTGATCGGTGTATGTTCAGTTTATTAGATTCATATTTTTAATGTTTAATAAGCGTTCCCAGCATCGCAGCCTTGACCCTCTCTCCTCGAGCTCGCCTTCCTGCAGCTCAGCCTGGGAGTGTGTGAAACACTCTGCTGATGGATGCTGATTACGGCGCTTCCCACAGCGCTCTCTCTCTGCACGCGCCGTGATATAAAACCGTGCTGAGCGTGCCATTGGCTGAGAGAACGCTCTGGAAGTCGGAGCCGCTGCTTCCCTCCTCGCGCCACTTCGACCGAGACGTGATCCGGGCATGCTGGGGACCGGCTCTCCTCGGTTAGTGTGACATGCATCCCTGCGAGGCTCGCGCACCACTGTTGCAGTAGACGCGAGCGGATTTGGCGTTGCCGAGTGATTGATTGACTTGTCTCGTGCAGCCCAAACCCCTCTTACCCGGTTATGTCATCGAGAAAGCCAGACGGACCCATGTAGCGCGAGCTGCACGAGAGCTTTACATTCGTTCTGCTTGCTTCACTGATACCTCCAACTTTGCTCTCGTGTCCTTTTTTGCAGGGATCTGAGAGCACGAGGCGAGACGGAGAGGAAGCGCTTATCCCTGAGCATCACGCAGGTATGTGGTCATGTCTTTCCTCACTAACGTCCAACACAGTCAGCAAGGGGTCAGACTCTCGCTGTGTGCCTACCTGCGCGCTTTAGGTGGGAGATACATTTGACGGTGGACGTAGAACTGTAATTAAGCAATTATCAGCAATTAGCACGCGCGTTTTGCGATAAATGATGGGCACGGGGCACAGCTGGAGCTTAGCTCGTGCCCTCGCGCGCTCTACAGTGGTGTGCGTGCGCTGGCAAGTCAAGAGTAGACTTCATCATTCTGCGCTTAGGTCATCAGGTGGCTGATCTCCGAGTACGCAGCATGTCCAAAAGTTTGCACCTGCCTCACCAAAAATGAGGGGTATTAATAGTGAGTTTGTCCACCTTTGCTGCAGTAACAGTCTCTACCCTTCTGGGAAGGCTTTGCACTAGATGTTGAACATTGCTGTGAGGATTTGATTGGGCATTAGTGAGGTCAGGTACTGATGTTGGATGGTCAGTTCTGGATCACTCCAGCTCATCCCAAAGGAGCTGCATCACTCCAGAGAACAGAGCTGGGGGGCAGCTGAGGAGAACAGTGACCTCAAGCTCATGTGCGGCTGCTGCAGTGTCCCGTTCTATTAGCATTGCTTTTCTCTGGACATCATACAAGCTGCGCAGATGTACACCTGAACCAGCAAAGGGTGCACTCTAAAGCGGCTGAAATCAGGCTGTCTGGATACTTTTGGAGTTATGGTGTGCATGAATGCAACGTCCTGCAAGTCTGACCGACAAGTCTGTGTCACCATAGTGAAGGCCTGGATGTTGTTGAGCAGGTTGGGAAAAGCTTGCATGATGTATTTTTACAGGACCTATTTAGGCTATTTGGGTGACTATTGAGCCCTAGTCTGTGTTAGCGACATTAGCCTCATAGCTCCAGTTCTCAGCTAAAAAAGCAAAATTTGGATTCCAAACATGTCTTGGCTGATCAACTACATCTAGGTTTAAGTGTAAAATTGGGTAAGTTTTCTGATTTTTCACTGATTTATTCCTTGACTCCTATTGGAGTGCACTGACCGTGTGTCTGCATTCCAAAGCTTCTACAGAGCAGCTCCTTAAAAATGAATAATTAATTGCAGTGTGATGTATTCAGCACTTTAAAAATTGGTATATTGAACGCACCCCCTATGGCACAGCTCGATCGGCTGTAATAATGCTGCCATTACTCATACCCCACAGAACAGAGCTGTTTATTATTACCCCCAGCCACTGAAAATTAACATTAAAGATGTTTTATCCATAAAAACATGAACGAGACAATATCAAATGCAGTCTGAGAATGTTCTCATGGCTTTGAACTAGTCATCCATCTATCCATCCAGCCATTTATCTATCCATCCATCCTTCCACCCCTGCAATCAATAGTGGAGCTAAGTCTGCATTGACCTTCACTGTAGTTAATCACCGCTCAAACTGAGCAACTGCTTTAACCAAACAGCAGAGATGTTGGGTAGAACATCTAAGACTTTAATGGACCTAGACTATATGTCCAAACGTGTCCTGATGCTCCTTCTAATCAGCTTGTATAGTGTCCATAGAAAAGCATTGATCATTAGAATTAGGACGGAGCAGCTGCACGTGAGCCTAAAGTCACCATGCCCAATGCTAAGCATACAGGGGTATAAAGGTGCCCCAGCATTGGGCTGTGGAGCAGTGGAGCTGCATTCTCTGGAGTGATGGAGCTCCATCCAGTACCTTTGGGATGAGTTGGAGTGATCTATAACTGACCATCCAACATCAGTACCTGACCTCACTAATGCTCAATCAGCTCCTCACAGCAATGTTCAACATCTCGTGTAAAGCCTTCCCAGAAGAGTAGAGGCTGTTACTGCAGCAAAGGAGGACAAACTCACTATTAATACCCTTCATTTCAGAAGAAACGCTGGAGAAGCAGAACCCTCACATAATGTAAAGCTTCTATACCAGTTTAATCGTCCTTCCTAGAACTTTTACTTAAAAACGTTCTTCAATCTTTCACATCTCGTTTACAAACATGGTTCTTCAAAGACCTATTAGACCTATGAAAAGTGGATTTTCTATGCAATCTTAGAAAAAGGTGCCATAAAATGTTTTTTAATCGCTGCCATAGAAGAACTTCTTTTGGTTCCCTTATGAACCATGTTTAAAAAGATACTTGTAAGTGTGAAGAACCTTCAAAGAACATTTTTAAAGAATATGAAGGATCCACACCAAATTTTTTTCCAGTTCTACCTAGAACCTTTACGTCATTTGAGCATTCTTTAAAAAGCGTCTTCGCACACAAACATGGTTCTTTAACGAACTATTGGTTGAAAAGTGGATCTTCTATGCACAAAAAACGCTCTTTGAGCGATGCGATAGAAGAACCACTTTTGGTTCCTTGAAAAAATGCTGTTTGAAAAGAGATGTGTGAGTATTTAGGACCTTTAAAAGATAAAGAGCCCTCACATAATGCAACAGTTTTATACCAGTTTAAGGGTTCTTCTTAGAGCCTTTATATGATGTGGAGGTTCTTTAAACTTCACCATCCGTTATTAAGAAGAAATCTCTTCTTAAAACCCACTTATGCAGTTTTCACGAAGGTTCTGACATTCACCAATGTTCTCTTATTTGGGATTTGTTCTTAGGTAAGAACAGAATCTACACACACTCAAGAGCACAAAGGTGAGAACAGTTCTATGCTTTAAGAACACGTCATGAATCTGATGTAGACTTTTTCTTATGACCTTTTTCAAGAACACATTTAAGAAAATACGAAGGAAGATATTGGAGAACGAGGCTCATTATTCTTTAAAGAACTACCGATCGCAAAGTAAGCGCTCTTAAGATAAGGTACAATAGCCATAAAAGAACTAAGGTGGTAAAGATGGATTTCTGAAGAACCATGCATTGAAAGGTTCTTTAGGGAACAGTTTGTTAGGTTCAAATCAGAATCCGAAGCTGCATTTCTGAGTCGCAGCGAATGCGAGCGCAAGCGCGTTGGTGGATGTTTGTAGAGCTCCAGCTTGAGGCCACTGATGTAGCCTCGCAGGAGACAGTTAATGGCTTCTGAAATACATTATAAAGGAAAGACCGGCGATGCGGTGGTGTGCAGAAGCCAAAAACCTCATTTGCGAGGTAGACGGAGATGAAGAAAGGTAGAGAGAGCTAGACAGAGAGAGAGGCAGATATTAGATGGCGGAAGTGTGCTCCACTTCCTCTGTTCTCCCGGAGGAGTGGAGGAGTGAGTGTAGAGTGCAGACTGAAAGCCTTGACTGTGTCTTAAAAAGCCATAAGTGTCCCCAGATCGGATGCATTGCCTCTGTATATTATTAAAAATAAAGGTTCCTGAGTGGTTCTTGGCTTGGATGTAGGGTTCTCTGGAAAACTTGTTGGTTTAAAGCCACTATATTACATCGAGAACTTTCATATAACACATCTCTTTTACTAAAATTGAACCATCTAGTAAAAGGTTCTTCAGGGAACCAATAGTGGCTCTTCTAAAGAACACTGTTTGTGTGCTTTGGCACTGACATACATGATTGGTAAAGCATGCAGAGCTGTGCTTTGAAAGCGTGTTGCATGTGTGCTTCCATGTGACCTGACGTACTTAAAACACTGATGCAATTTGCACATCAAGTTGACCTTCAGGACTCTGTGTGCCCAGTTTAAATGGCTGAATGCATTAACGACCTAGAACTTTCCCTCGTGTCTCAAACAGTCCTCTGATTGACTCTCAGACTCTGAGTTTAGTACTGATAATCAGAAATTTACGGCTAAATACACATAAAAAATTATTCAAAATGCAGTCACGCTTACATAACTGAGGCTAAATGCTAGCCATGCGGCAGGTGCATGCTTCTGAGCTGAGAGAGTGGGGGAGGGGCGGAGAAACGGGCAAAAAAGGTGACAAAAATGGCCCTTGTCCTATTCACTACAGTGCACTTCTTTCCCCTCTTTCCCCTTAAAATCACACAAACAGGCCCTAAAACAGATTTTAACAGATAAATAACAATAAATATGACAAATTTTATTATAAAATGAATACTGTTTAGCTCTGTCTTTCAGTTTGCATTGATTTTGAGTATTGAAAATATCTGATATTAAATATTCAATTCAATTTGTAATTAAAAATAAAGCCTGTCTTGCTGCATATCTGAGTTTTAGCCCTCAGCATGAATCCAAGAGGACAGAAAATCAATAAAAAGTATGGCCGCCTTATGCTAATTGTTTATTTTTGGTCATAATAACCAATAACATGAATCATCCTCAGAATTCTTACACTTTCAGTTCACAGACAGTCCAGACTAACAATTTCTGAAAAGGTATCTGAGGTGCCACTTGTTTTCAAGATCTGTATAACAAAAGATTACAAAATTCAGCAGGCGCTAGGTAAATGTTTGATTAGAAATGGCCCAAATTCATAAAGATATCAAATTTCTGTTCGCATTCACATGTCAAACAATGTCATAGCTGAGCAGCCCAGGATCTCCTGAAAATAACATATGGCATGTAAATACTTTATAATTGCAACTGTAGTTGTAATTGACCCAAAATATCAGTAAAAAAACCCAAAATTCTAGGGTTCTAAGGATTTAAGAGGAATTCCACCAATTCCACCAAAAAATTCTGTATTATTCAGTCATTAAACACAGTTATTCAGATTGGTGTAATGTGAAATGGTTAATTGTAGAGAAACTTTGCAGTGGTGGGTGCCGCAATGTCTACAACACGTATAATCAACATTTAAAAACATGTAGGTTCACTGGTGGTTTTGTTTAGTAAATAAAATGACTATATTTGTGTTGTAGTCATGGTGACCCCTGGTTCCTATCTCCACCACTGTAAAGTAATCTAAGTCTCTACAATTGACCATTTCACACCAAACCACTCTGAATCACTCCGCTTACATCTTGACTGTTTATGCAAAAATTTTTAAAAAAGGGTGGAATTCCCCTTCAAGGTTATATTTATGCTATGTGTCTACAAATGTGCCAGAAAGGCCCCACAGTGTCCCAAAAT